AATTTTAAAAAAAAATAATAATAAATAAATAAATAAATAAAAGGATTGAAATCATACAAAGTGTGTTCTCCAAACATAGTGGAGACAGGGCCGAGCATGATGGCTCATGCCTGTAGTCTCAGCTACCTGGGAGGCTGAGATGGGAGGATCACTTAAGCCCAGAAGCTCAAGGCTGCATTGAGCTATGATCATGTCACTGCACTCCAGGCCGGGGCGACATAGTGAGACTCCATCTCCAAAAATAAAATAAAATTTAAAAAAATGTAAAAGGAAGGTTTCAAATCAATGATTTTTTTTAAACAGGAAAGAAGCTGGCATAGTTTCATTAATATCTACCAAATTAAACTTTAAGGCAAAACCCTTTGTTGGAAATAAAGTACAACAAAAGAAACAATCTGAAAGGTATAATTCTGAACTTGTATACATTTAATAACATATACCCAAAATATATGAAACAGAAATTAACAAAATTCTTTGGGAAACTTGACAAATGGATAATCATTATATGAGATTAATAATAACTAACTCCAAAGAAAGCAGAAAGGAAGAAATAAAGCCTAGAGCATAAATGAAAGAACAGTTCCTGTGAACATATTTGGGACAAAAATAAGACAAAAAAAAAAAAAGAAAGAAAGAATAGAAAAGCAATAGAGAAAAGGTTCTTTGAAAAGATCAACAAAATGACAAAACTAGCTAAATTGACCAAAAGAAAACAGAAATTGTTAGACTAAAAAGGGGATTTTTACTACCAAAAACATTATAAAGAAATACTGTGAATAATTGAATGCCAACAAATTAGATGAAATGGACAATTCCAAGGAAGACACAAAATACCAAATCTCAACAAGGAACAGAAATGCTATGAATAGAGTTTACTATGTTATGAATGTGTCCCCCACAGTTCATGTGTTGAAACTTAATCCCAATGCAACAGTGTTGAGAGGTGAGACCTTAAGAGATGATCACTGATAAATAGAGCCCTCATGAATGGATTAATGCCATTACTTTGGTAGTGGGTTAGTTATCTCAGGAGTTAGTTCCTGCTAAAAAGTCAAGTTTGAGCTTTTTCCTCCTCTCCTTTCCTTTCTCTCTCTTCCCTCTTTCCCCTCCTCCTCCACCCTCCCTCCCACCACCTGCTCTGTCATTCTCTCACCCTTCCACACGGATGACAAAGCACGAAAGCCCTCACCAGATTCAAGCCTCTCCATCTTGAGCTCCCCAGCCTTTAGAACTGTAAGAAATGAATCTCTGTTCTTTAAAAATTACTCGGTTTCAGGTATTCTGTTATGCCAAAACTGAACAAAGACATCACAAGCAAATTACAGACTACAGATGAGTATTCCTCATCCAAAATGCCTGGGACCAAGATGGGACCCAAGTAAAATGAAATTCTTGTTTCCTTGTGTTGAGGAAAAAAAATAAAATAAAATAAACATGAAATTCATGTATGTTTCATATATACCTTACACACATAGCCTGAGGTAATTTTATACAATATTTTAAATAATCTTGCCCATAAAACAAAGTTTTGAGACTGCATTTTGACTATGATCCATCCCATGAGGTCAAGTGTGAAATTTTCCTTTGTGGTGTCAAGTTGGTGCTCAAAAAGTTTTGAACTTTAAAGCATTTCGGATTTCAGATTAGAGATGCTCAACCTATCTCTTTTGAATATAGATGTAATCCAACAACATATAAAAAGAATTATGTACCATGAGTGGCATTTATCCACAGGAATGGAAGGTTGATTCAACATACAAAAATCCATCAATGTAATACATAATATTAATAAAGGACAAAGATCACATGATCATCTTGCTAGGCACAGAAAAAGCATTTGACAAAACTCCACATCCTTTCATAATAGAGACACTCAAAAAACTAGGACAAACTAAAAACTCCTCTCCTTCAACTTGATAAACACCATCTATAAAAATCCACAAGTACTACCATACTTATTGGTGAAAGACTAAATCCCCCTGAGATCAGGAACAAGTCAAGTATGGTCACTCTCACCACTCTTGATAAACACAGTGTTGGAAGTTGCAGGCAGGGCAGTACAGCAAGAAAAGGTAATAAGAGGAATCCAAATTGAAAAGAAGTAAAAATACTTCAATTCACAGATGGCAGGATCTTCTATATAGAAAATCCTAAGGAATCCACAAGAAAACTATTAGAACTAATAAATGAGTTCAATAAAGTTTTGAGATACAAGATCAATATAGAAAATTTTTACAATTTTCAACTGTCAGTTGCTCACTCCAAGTAAGTGTACCTACGTGGACTTTCATGCACCGAAGAATCCGGGGGAAAGGGGAATTCAGTGACTATTACTTACACAGAATTTAGCATCTCTTTTTTTAGTCAGAATACATTCGGATACATTCAGATAACAGCTAACATTATGGAGCACTTGGTATGGGGTACACGGTGTGCTTTATGTATTTAACATATTAATGCATTAATGTGTTAACACAGTTCCATGTAGTCACACCAAGTGTTATCATTTCCATTTCATAACTGGGAAAACTGATAGAGTGGTTAAGTAACTTGGTCAAAACCACATACTTAGAAATTAATAAATTCAGAAATCTGTATTTTCTTTCCTCAGAAGATAGCAAAAAAAGTTTATTGAAAGAGGATAAGATAAAGAACACTAGACTGGGAGTTCAGAGAATTAAGTGGGTCTTTCCTCTGGCTCTTCCGCTAGTGACCTGTGTGACCTTGGGTGAGCAATTTACTTTCTCTGAACCTCTGTCTCCTTGTCTGTAGAAAGAGGAAGTTGGGCTAAATGATAGCTAAGGCTTCTACCACCTCTAATTCTCTCATACTGGGCTTACATCTATGCCAGATTTCTGAATTACAAACTCTCCCTTTCCCAGCCACTTGGAAAAGACAAGGACTAAGAGAGGACAGCCACTTACTTGTCATGACAAGAAATAGGAGATACAGAAGCAGGACAGCTTGTCACTTGCACAAGTTGCTGCTTCAGCCAGTGATGGGTTTGGGTGAGAAGCATGGTTATAATTAGAGCAGCGGCCCGTCCTGAATTCTCCACCAGCCTCCTCCAGCACAGCTGGACCTGCCTACTGCACATGCAGGAGTCTGAGAGGCTGCTTTGGCCTTGAAAAATGATCCTTCTTAAAAGGATTTTCCTCCTTCCTCGAGGGAAAGAAAACCCATTGATATAAAACCACACTTCCCATCTGGTTTCCCCTGCTAAATGCCACTCCAGTAGAGACCGAGTGTTGATAAATACGGAGGAACGAAAAAGTCGTAAGCTGAGCCTGGTCACATTGCCCCTTGTGATATAGTTTTATTTTTAACTTCGAAACACTTGAACTATTTGTGTTGAAGTTTTCTCTCCTTTCCCTGCCTTCCCAACAGAGCTCTGTCCTCTGCTGCGCCGGCTGCACCCCAGCCACCTCCCCACGACCTGCTTGCGCACACTCAGGGGACGCAGGTGGAGCAGATGCTGACTCAGCCCGTTGCATTCAGGTAAGCCTTTCAAACATGAGCAGGTGCAGTGAGGGGACATTCGGAGAGTGAACGTGCAGGTGAGGCAGAGGTGCACTTGTGCCCTGAGGAAGAGGGTTGTTAAGCATATTAGTTATGTATGGGGGAAAAGGGGCTAGCCCTGAGAACGAGACCCAGCCATGTGTAAACTCCTGTTTCAAATTTAAAATCTTAGAGCAAGAAGAGATCACCTGCTTTCTGACAGCTGAGGTTTTTTCTTCTACAATCAACCAGGATAGTTATGTGATATCTTTAAAGTTACACCGTGGTGATGGGGGTGAGGTTGGGGGGCAGAGAAGGTGGTGAGGAAATAGCTGGAAGGCCCAGACCCAGAACTCTTATTTTCTAAAGTCCAAGTGCTGTGATCTTTTCTCCCATCAACATTTGCTGTGTTCATTGCAAGTCACTTGCACGTAGCTTAACTTCCATTTCCTGTGTCACACTACCAGTTAATGTAGCACAATTGTATTTATTGCATGTACTACTGAACTCTGCCTGCAGAGTTTAAAACTGTTTTTCCTCCAACAATATTCCCTAAATGTAGCTCTCTCCTCCCCAGTTCTCTTGAATCCAAAATGTATCCATGGAACGTTAAGTGCAAGTATTTTACAAGTTGAAAAACTTATACAGGCTTATACGCCCAAATAAAAAATTGTTACAAATCTGAAATTTGCAAATCCAGAGGAACAAAAGTAAAATGACTAATGTTGCTTGGGGTATCAAAAGTTCTAAAATGTAGACAGATTATTTCTAGCTTCTGGAATAACTGTATAGTGTTGCATGCACAGAAAAAATTGGCGGGAGTAAAGGAGCAGTGTTTATTTTCTTCTTTTTCTTTGGTTCAAAGTTCAGCTAAGGACATCCTGGGAAGTGGCCTGTGCAGCAAAAGGGATCATGTGCCCTGTGAACTTTGAAATGTACAGACTAAAGCCACCAATACCAAGTAAAAAGAGGCCCAAAGCAACTACTCAGATACCCTAACTCCTGGTTCCTTTCTGCCTGCCTCTGTAACCCCCATATGGACGCCATAACTCTGCTATCAGTGTCTGGGTTATAATTATACCTGTTTGCTGGGCACTGTCAAATTCACTGTGTATAATTGCCTAACTTCATTTAATTTTTCTAGGGTTTTCATGGCACAGAAGTCTCCAAGGTGCATGCTAGGGTGCTGTCCCAGTGAGACTAGGGTGTGTTGGCTTAGGAGTAACAGAGCAGATAGGTCCGACTCACAGCTACCCCTAGATAACCCAGCTACTTACTCACTTTCTTCGTCACTACAACAACAATTTAAACTACTGATGCCAATATACAAGCACCAGATATGAGAATTAATTAGATGATTAAATAACTAAAAAGTTTAAAGGTAGAGATTTCTAGCATAGATGGAGAACTGCAGATCATGACGGTGAATAGATCTGGGGGAGGATGATTATGTTTTTAGGGTATAGTGAAGGTACTGAAATCATAGCCCATAAGCCCAGGATTATAGAACCAGCTGTGGGAATTATCCTCAGCAAACTGGGTTAAAATTTCAAGAGGTAGGTAGGGTGGGCATGGTGGCTCATGCTTGTAATCCTAATACTTTGAGAGGTGGAGGCGGGAGGCGGGAGGACTTTTTATAGAGACCCCATATCTATAAAAAAAAGAAAAATTAGCCAGACATGGTAGCTCATGTCTGTAGTCCCAGCTACTCAGGAGGCTGAGGCAGGAGGATCACTTGAGCCCAGGAGTCTGAGGATGCAGTGAGCTGTGATAGCACCACTATACTCTGGCCTGGGCAACAGAGCAAGACTATGCCTCAAAAAACAAACAAACAGGCCGGGCACAGTGGCTCACACCTGTAATCCTAGCACTCTGGGAGGCCGAGGTGGGAGGTCGCTCAAGGTCAGGAGTTGGAGACCAGCCTGAGCAAGAGCGAGACCCCATCTCTACTAAAAAATAGAAAGAAATGATCTGGACAACTAAAAATATATATATAGAAAAAATTAGCCGGCCATGGTGGCGCATGCCTGTGGTCCCAGCTACTCGGGAGACTGAGGCAGGAGGATCGCTTGAGCCCAGGAGTTTGAGGTTGCTGTGAGCTAGGCTGACGCCACCCGGGCACTCTAGCCCGGGCAACACAGTGAGACTCTGTCTCAAAAAACAAACAAACTAACAAACAACAACAACAAAACAAGAGGCAAAGGGATTGCTTTGTTAACTTTATACATTTTCTTTTCCTGGAATTAAATATTTCCATAGTAGAGAAACAGGTCAATAATGTATAATTAAAGTAACTAATTAGTTGGCTGGTTAATAGTTTAAAAGTTAAAGACTATCTCTGACCTTTAACTTTTAATCCTGTCACCTTCACCGAAGTTAAGCTCACACAGAATCCTTATTGCCAGGGCCAGCCACATGAGGAGGCGCAATGGTCAGTCACTGACATCATGTCAGGTGCTGGGAGGGCCCCTTGCCTAAAAATATCTCCCTGACATCAACCCTGGCTGCCTACTAGCTTTAAAATTACAGTAAAGAATGTTAAAACTATTATCTGTTAATTCCATTCTCTTTTGCTTGAGTCAGTGATTTAAATACACCTGCTATATGTGTTATCATGACTTGGTTGGCCAGCGACGCCGGTCACCACCTCCTCCTCATGCTTCCTGGCCCCGTCTTACTCTGCTCTTGGCACCGTCTAAGTTCCCAGCATGCCCTTGGCCACCACCATGCAGGTAGCTTTGTGTGGCACTATGGTTTCTGCACTCTCTCAATAAACATCAAGGTGCAGTAGGAAAAAAGCATGTGAGTAGAGCCAGAGGCCCTGGGAACATGGGCAAGACACTTTACTTCTCTGGGCCTGTGTTTCTCCACTAGGAAATAGAGTTAATTAAGCTAGACCCTTTCCTTTCAAAGTGAGGTCCCTGGACCATCAACACTGGAGTTGTTATCAGGGAAGAATCTCAGGTCTCAGCCCAGTCCTACTGGATCTGAATCTGCATTTTAAAGAGATTGCCCAGGTGATTTCTATGCGCTTTGAAGTTTGAGAAGCTCCTGAATAGAGAGTTTCTGGTTATCTGCCTAATCCAAATTCCTGATTCTATGACTCCAAGTGTTTAAAAGAATGTGTTGTTCTTTTTTAATCCTCTGGAAGCAATTCTGGCAGCACTCAAAGTGTCTGTTTTAACTTGAGCCCACTGAAGTCTTTTCCATTCTGTGAAGGCTACATTAATCTAAGATGAAAAGATTTCTTTTTCTGTCTTAAAACAAAACACCCCCAATTAGCATATATCTGACACCACTGCACTCTCCTAAAGTTGTTTCAAATTGCTCTCACAGCCCCTTCTTTGTGCTGCCTTCTTTAGGGTTCTATTCAATTTAATTCAATTCAGTCCCATTCAAAGAACATTGATTGAGTGCTAGGGCAGCATCAGCCACACTCACTCTCCGGTCCCTGGGAACCCATTCCCATGAGTCCTTGAGACCATTGACATTCCAGTCGGGGCTCCTTCCCCTGCCTGCACATACCCGTGGCCACAGCACTTGGGCTCCAGTGTGGCCTGTCGTCAGAACTTCTCACCACGCACAGCCTCACAGCAGCTTCCCCTGGGTTGTGCTGACTCCCGCAGACAATCACAGAGAGAAGCCAAGTCCAATCATCGCCCTCCTTTTCTTAATGAGCAGAATAATGTAGGTGAACAATAAACATTACAAATTTGGGCCTAGGAAACAAAGATGCCCTCAAATTGTTTTTGTAACATCTAAAAGGTCCCAGGTCTGAAGTAGTACTATTTGAATTCCTAAGTGCCCAGAGGTCGAAAAGGGTGCAGAGCGGTAGGAGAATTTACATTCTTAAAAGAGTAAGGTTCTTTTTTTAATAGGGTTTGGAGATTATTAAGCTGGTAATGATGCAGAAGATATGTTGGAGCGAGGAGGAATTGAAAATTGAAAGATCAGCCAAGGGCTACAGGAGGATGTAACGGGAAGAAATGAAAGCCTGGACAAGGGAGGTGACCATGACAGTGACCTTCCTCATGGAGGAAGGACTAACAGTTGAGTTACTCATATATTAGACATTTCCCCTATTTTATCTCATTTGATGCTGACACAATCCTATGGGTTATTATGAGCCCCATTTTATGAATGAATAAATTAGCTCTAGGGAGATTAAATAACATCAAACATTACTCAGCTAATTCATGAGAGTGCTCATGGATTTACCTTATATTGGGGGTGACAGATGAGCCTATGTGGAGGTAACATGGGAGCTGAAATCTATAATAAATGGCAAAAAGGAGCCCACAGGGCAAATAAGGAGCAGAGGAAGGTTCTCCTGGTAGAAAGAGCAAGTATAAAGGCCCTACGCTGGAATGAGCGCCCAGGCTGGGGTAAAGTGCACAAGGGAACAAGGTCAGGTGCAAGCAAAAAACAGCTCCTGCCGGGCCTTGTGGGCCAAGGTAAGGACTTCAGGGTTTCGCCCTTGTGATGGGAATCCCATTAAGTGGGAGAGTATAACCTACTTTTTAAAATCACTCTGCTGGTCAATATGCATTAGGTGGTGCAAGATGGGAGGGGTGGGACTGATTACAAAGCCATTGCACTAGAACGGATGAGAGATGATGGTGCCTGGACTCGGGCAGTGATGGTGGAGATAGAAGTGGATAGAATTTGCCCATGGCTTTTCCAGATCTTTCGTCAAGGCCTTCCCATCTAACTGGCAGTAGTTCCTTTTTGATTGGGACACAATACCAAGCTGCTTCTAGCTCAGTGGTTCTCAAATTTGAGCTTACGTCAGAATCAGCTGGATTCAGCAGGTGGATTCTGTAGGCTTGGGCTGGGGCACAGGGGTTTGCATTTCTAACCAGCTCACAGGTTATGCTGATGCTGTCGGTCTGGGGATTACACTTTGAGACCCACTGTTCTAGCTACCTTGCCTTTGCTTATCAGTTTACTCCTTTCTGAGTGGTCCACACAGCACCACAACCTGCATCAAATCAAGTTGC